ATATATATATACATATATATGTATATATGTATATATATACATATATGTATATATATGTATATATATATATATATATATGTAATGCTGCATGACATAGTCAATATAAATACATTGATTAATACAGTTATACTACAAAGCTGCAAATGAATAGCTGGAGATTCTAGGAAACGAAAGCTAAAGGAATAGCCAAAAAGATAAACCGCGTCACAGTTCTGGCTAAAATGTATAGCGAATTAGCAAAACAAGCTAACTATAAGTTGGTAATAAACCAAAATAAACAGTCACAGAATTGGAGTTGGTAATAAACCAAAATAAACAGTCTTTCAGAATTGATGTGCACTCGTCCAACAATAAAAAACTTCATTAACAACACTTTTTTTTAAATATATTTTATAATAAGAAAGCCCAGCATCTTGTTGAGTTCATGGCTAATGAGTAATAATTTGTGTTGTGTTGACAGGTGTGTACCTTGTTTGAGGCCATCTCACTGACTGATCGGTGGGTCTGAATGGTCTCCAGCTGGTCCAGACACCAGTCCAGCTCCTCCAGAGTCTCCCTAGCCATCTGCTGATACGTCTCCTCTAACAAAGACACAGAAATACCACACGGAGTTAGTAACACACTGCTTTGATGTACTGCTAATTATCTAATTTATATAAAAAAAATGATAAAAACTGAAACAGAACATTGGCATAAAAGTGATACAACGTGATATAATTTCAACTTAAACAATAAAACATTGTTTCATTTGTATTTTTGTACCAAAACAAAAAGTTCCTATTTCCTTCCTATTTATAAAAACGACTTCCTAAAATGATATAATTAATATAACATGACAAAAACAATATTATCTTATTTCGAATTATCTTAAAATACCAACAACAAAAAAGAAGAAACTTAAAGGTATAAAAACCAGAAAAGAAAAAAAAAACCCCAGTGCTAGCATTTCGAATTAGCCAGACACATACCAGAGAGTGTAGCTTGGGGAACAGTGGGTTGGCTTGTCACTGGTGACCTCCTGCGGACAAACACCTCATTACATTAGATGGAGAACAGCCGGCTTCTGCTGCCCCCTGCTGGGGGTCTCAACAAACATTAACATAAAAAGAAATATGAGACAACAAAACGGTTGGCACATAGAGGGCAGTGCAGCTATTTCCACAAAACGCAGATCAAGTCTCTGGGTGTAGAATATGTCTATGTTAATTATAAATTAATTATTAATTATAATGAATTCCAAATGAGCCTGTATTATTTTTTAAAATATTAAATGAATATTTCTGTATTCAGAGAGCCATTGTGCATGGTATGTGCCTCAATATATATATCTATATATATGTTTATATAGATATATACGTATATATGTATATATAGATATAAGTGTATATACGTATATATCTATATAAACATATATATCTATATATACATATATACGTATATATAGATATATATGTTTATATATGTATATATAGATATAAGTGTATATACAAATACACACATATATATATAAATACACATATATTCAGGTAAGTTTTCTTACTTGGAGTTGTCACAGTGACTCGACCACACGATCAGGACTTGACCTTTGGTGACCTTAATGAAGCGAAGTCCATTGACCTGGTGAAACACGTGTGACACAGATCATCACTGACCTCCATCTGACCTCCGTCAACTCGTCCTCAAACACTGACCTAATAATGACCCACGGTCTGAGGTACCTGGTTCGGTGCCACGGTACTCACCTGGTCCGGCGCAGCTGTGGGCCGAGCACAGACATGGACGAGGAGGACCGAGGGAACAGGCAGCCTGGCCTTCAGTGTCAGAGGTTCTCCTACAGGAACGTCCCAGGGTCCATCGACACGGGGGTCCTGAAACGACACGACGTCACAGCATTGGGTTAAAGCTCGCGGCTCGAACCAGGTGTGGTTCAAACTATGGCCCGGGGGGCCGGATGTGGCCGATTTGGCTCGCCCGAAATATTACATAAAATATTAATTTATATTATCATCAAATGTCTGCCTTTACCCTGTATATATATTTATATATGTATATATAGATATATATCTGTATATATGTATATATAGATATACATATGTATATGTATATATATATCTATATATATAATACTATTAAAAAGGAGAGTATTTTAAGGGCTATTGATCATCGTCTTGGTGTCATCCGGGGACAGACTCAGGGTCATGGAGCTGAGGTATACGATGCTCTCTGTAGATTTGGCTGCAGGCAACACTGCAGATCACACATTGCTCGTTAGACATACTGTATTTTAGAGAATGATATTTTTGGTTATTCCAGCCGACAAAAAGTCCCCTCTCTCCCTCTCCGACGTCAAAGAAAAGCAAAGACATTAGTAAAAAAAAAAAACCCACACACAGACACAGATACAGACAGACACAGACGGCGACAAAACAAAGCAGGCACTTGTGAGGAGGGTGAATGGGGGGGGGCGTGGGGGATGTGGTGTTTGACAGCATGATACTGACTTGTTAGTGGGTGTTGTAACATTGGCGAGGATGGTGAAGTTGCTTCTTACAGTTCGTAGGCTGGCCAACACCTGAGGGATGGATGGACAGCGTAGGAAGGGAGGGAGAAAGTGGACAGGTCAGAGGGAGGACAGGAAATGTTGACTTTTCACAAACTTTTGGCCACTTTTTTTTTTTTTGTTCTCATAGTATTTGCAGCAATAAAGACGTGCCAGGAGTGTTGATCAAGTCTTACCTGAGCAAAAGGGGTAACGATCATGTCTTCGGCGTGCCTGAGGAGAATATTGAAAGGAACAGTGGATATTACTGGCTGTAATGGTTGAACGATAACAAGCCTCCAGTCACTAGGGGGCAGCAACTCATACAGTGGTTTGTACAGATGAAAATATACATGTTATCAGGCACTGGGTCGGAGGGGAGGGGGGGAAAACATTTCTGTCCTCAAGGGGGGGACATGACAGAAAATAATTGAGAACAACCGCTGTAAGCGTCATTAGCGTTAGCGGAACATTCCGGGCCTGGGTCCTTACTTTAGCAACAGAGCTCGGCTAATAAATAGTGGAACTACAGGGGGGCGCTATTTAACTGTGCTCAGAAGTGCACGATGTACAAAGACACAGCGCTACGCACGTTTAAATCAGTCCTTGTAAAGGGGTCGAGAAAAACCCACGACTCGCGCAATTGATAGCTTCAAAATAATGCGTCTCTCCGACTCCGATGCTAACAGAATAAAGTCTGAATGAGGTTTTATTTTGAAATTTTAGCAATTCTTCAAACGTCGGTGCACTGCTCCCGGTCAGTGGTACAGGCCAGGATCGTTCAAGCAGTTCTTAATAACAATTAATAGGGAACCACTGGCGAACAGGTCAAAAGGTTAGCATCACGTTAGCTCGTCTAAAGGCTCTTTATGGTCACCATGCTAAATTACCCGTATGTATCAAACAATTTGCCCACAAGAGGGCCCACACAGACGCGACAGCTCTATTTGAACTTTGCTTTTGCATCGTCAAATTCGGAACAGAGGGCCCACACAGACGCGACAGCTCTTTGAACTTTGCGTTTGCATCGTTCATTTTGACCACGTCAATTTCAGAAAACACTACGATTTCTGATTGGATCCTAACATTAAATGGCGGTTCCAGTCACGTGAGGATCTCTCACAATGCAGGTGTACTTACCCCTCACTGTTGACGGAGGAGTTGCGTGACATTGTTTTGGGCGAGGTGTCATAGTCGGAGTCAGAGCGGTACAGGAAGGACTCCCTGCGCTGACTCTGGGGGAAAGAAGGGTGGAGCACCAACCCAGGACTCGCCTGCGAATCCATGGGACTGCGGCCTGGTGAGGGACCATTCTCAGAATCGAAGCTGCGGGGCAAAACGAGACAGGAAGGTTATCGGGTTTAAAGTATGGTACATTTATTAATGGGTCCAAGTGTGTTAAAAAAAATGACTAAAATTTTGAAATTATTACTAAAAATAATGGACATTACCAAAACTGAGCAAAAAGATATAGCTTAAAGATAGCTTAAAGATAGCTGAAAACGATTCTAATCTGGACACATATGACAATTTGACATTATAAAAGTCATCACATCGAGGAGTCTTGAGATCATATATATATCTACCAAACCTTATGACAGGCCATTAACAATATTTACAGGAGTCACAGGCCACAATAAACCTGCTCAAGTGCCGTTATTGGCCAGTGAGCTTCATTTTGGAACGACTTCCGCTACAGCTTTGGACACAGGCCACAATAAACCTGCTCAAGTGTCGTTATTGGCCTGTGAGCTTCATTTTGGAACGACTTCCCGCTACAGCTTTGGAACACAAAAAAACAAAACAAAAACAAAAACAAATAAATGCAAAGCAAGCTCAAAGACAGAATGTGATTCCCAGGCACGACGGAATAGCAATAGCGCAGTGTGAAACTGCTGCATCTATTTTTAACGCGGCTCAGTTGACCCCCCCTCCGCCAAAACAGTCGACGTCAACACCATCGCGGAAGCCTTTCAAATTTGACTTCTGATACCGAGCGTGACGTGGGGATATATTTAGAATATGCCCAGTTAACTTGTCAATTATTGTACCTGTGTCAGGTTCAAGCAAATAATGCTTGAACCATTTTTTTTTTTTTTTTTTGCAGTGATGAAAATCAGAAATGACCACTAGGGGGAACCCTAATACCCATACTAATCTTTGTTGTTGTGTTTTTCACATGTTTTTATTTATATATATAGTCCTGTATGAAGGTTAAGAGTTAATGTGTGATAATAAATGTCCTGAATTCCGCATCACATTTTAAGTGCGACTGCAGTGTAGGCATGGAACCATTCACTATGTGAGTCATATTTAAAACACAAACACCTTCATATTAGAAGCTGCTGGACAAAAAAAAAAAAAAAAAAAAAAAGGTAGCTTTGGGGGACACACAAAAAAAAAATGTATGCGTGCCAAATTTGGTCCTGCGCCAGATGTTGGACATACTTTTTTTTTTTTTTACAATACATTTATAACCCCGTGTTTTGGATGCAGTAGAAATGTACCTGCTGAAACAGTTAGACAAGCGACTGTGCTCCTGAATACTACGGTTCAGTTTCAGACGTCGGAACAGGACAGAGCCTCCGCATCCGCGGGTCTGATCGACCGGCGACAGGGGTAAGGTGAGAGGAGGAACGGGAGACGGACCCTCGGGACTCTCACACAACCTCAGCTGTCGTGTCAGCGTCCTCTGATTCATCGCTGCCCACTCCGGTCTTGCAGGAGCCGCTGACCACTTCAGGAAAACTCCTCCGGCTTCTCCACTATCTGTCACACAACTCCCGCCGACCCGGCCGCCTACCTTGTCTACTTTTCAGCACGTCAGCTCACGTCTGGGGCCGACCAGAGCTGCCCAGCAGCACCGTGTGCAAGTTGTTTACACTCTAGGGCAGGATCCAATAACAGGGCCTTGGCCGATGCCCACCGTCCCCGTCCCTCCCACCCTCTCCGTTTAAACTTTCCCCACCGTGCGTCTCCGTATGCCAGATTAGTTGACCTGAATCAATATACAGAGACACATCCAACACCGAGATCTCAGCGCTCTATTTCTGACGCTCTAGGATCCAAATCGCATTCTTCTTCACAGCCTTAATTTGATTCCTGGAACTCCTAGCAGGTCTCCTAAAATCCTCTGCCTGGGCAGTTTTGTTCAAGATTTATTTGTTCTCCAACTGACAGCTTCTCAGAGAGCCCTCTAGGCCTGGGCCACTTGCAAATGGGGCGAGCGCTCAGCTGCTGCTGCTGCTGCTGCGGTTGCTGAGCCTGCAGGATTTGAAAAAGTAATCGAGAAACAAATAAAGGTTAGCCAAATCTGATAAAAGAGAAAAAAAGCTAAACAGAAGAAGAAACATGTGAATGTCAACTAATTGAGAGGGGGAAAACTGACCGATTGAGCTTAAGGTTTGGCCAGAAAAGGGTAAGAATTTGTCAAATTCGCTAGAAAAGGGGTGACAAACATATGGCCCGTGGGCCAAAAACTGCCCGCTGGGGGGGGTTCAAGCTGGCCCACTTGATGAATTTTGAAAGTGTAGAAAATGCACAAACACTTAATGTTTGTGATGTTTCGTCAAATTATATTTCATTAAATATCAATATTTTATGAGAAACGTGTACTTTTTTGCATCAAAACAAAGGAGAAAAACACATACTTATTGTTATTTATAGGTAATTATGTTATGATTGTACTGGTCCGGCCCACCTAACATCTAATTAGGCTGTATGTGGGCCCGGAACCAAAATGAGTTTGACACCCCTGCGCTAGAAATTAGCTACAAGATAGAGCAGTAAATGAAGGTTAGCTTAAAACGGAAACCGAAATTTGCTAAAGGTTAATTCATTTTTATACGAATCAAACTATATGAAGTGGGAGGCGGTCCCTCGGGACTCTCACACAACCTCAGCTGTCGTGTCAGCGTCCTCTGATTCATCGCTGCCCACTCCGGTCTTGCAGGAGCCGCTGACCACTTCAGGAAAACTCCTCCGGCTTCTCCACTATCTGTCACACAACTCCCGCCGACCCGGCCGCCTACCTTGTCTACTTTTCAGCACGTCAGCTCACGTCTGGGGCCGACCAGAGCTGCCCAGCAGCACCGTGTGCAAGTTGTTTACACTCTAGGGCAGGATCCAATAACAGGGCCTTGGCCGATGCCCACCGTCCCCGTCCCTCCCACCCTCTCCGTTTAAACTTTCCCCACCGTGCGTCTCCGTATGCCAGATTAGTTGACCTGAATCAATATACAGAGACACATCCAACACCGAGATCTCAGCGCTCTATTTCTGACGCTCTAGGATCCAAATCGCATTCTTCTTCACAGCCTTAATTTGATTCCTGGAACTCCTAGCAGGTCTCCTAAAATCCTCTGCCTGGGCAGTTTTGTTCAAGATTTATTTGTTCTCCAACTGACAGCTTCTCAGAGAGCCCTCTAGGCCTGGGCCACTTGCAAATGGGGCGAGCGCTCAGCTGCTGCTGCTGCTGCTGCGGTTGCTGAGCCTGCAGGATTTGAAAAAGTAATCGAGAAACAAATAAAGGTTAGCCAAATCTGATAAAAGAGAAAAAAAGCTAAACAGAAGAAGAAACATGGGAATGTCAGCTAATTGAGAGGGGAAAAACGGACCGATTGAGCTTAAGGTTTGGCCAGAAACGGGTAAGAATTTGTCAAATTCGCTAGAAAAGGGGTGACAAACATATGGCCCGTGGGCCAAAAACTGCCCGCTGGGGGGGGTTCAAGCTGGCCCACTTGATGAATTTTGAAAGTGTAGAAAATGCACAAACACTTAATGTTTGTGATGTTTCGTCAAATTATATTTCATTAAATATCAATATTTTATGAGAAACGTATATTTCATTAAATATGAATATTTTATGATAAACTTGTACTTTTTTGCATCAAAACAAAGGAGAAAAACACATATAGTTGTTATTTATAGGTAATTATGTTATGATTGTACTGGTCCAGCCCACCTAACATCTAAGTAGGCTGTATGTGGGCCCGGAACCAAAATGAGTTTGACACCCCTGCGCTAGAAATTAGCTACAAGATAGAGCAGTAAATGAAGGTTAGCTTAAAACGGAAACCGAAATTTGCTAAAGGTTAATTCATTTTTATATGAATCAAACTATATGAAGTGTAACCCAAGGTGACCTACAAACAAGTTTACACAGTAGTAGCTAAAACGGCACAAACAACTGATCAAGTAAATAAAAAGAATAACAATTTACCATGAAGACATGAAGCTACACGGTAACTAAATGTAACAACTGCTCAAAATGGGCAAAATTAAAACACTAACATAGATCAAATTACGCTGAAAAACATAAGCAGACAAAGGATCAACACCTACACTGAAAGGAATTTTTAAAAAAAAATCCTAAAAGTTATTCCCAAAAAACGACAGACAAAGATAACAAAAGTTAGCACATACTTAGCATAAAATATGCAAAAGATGCTAAATTAGCCAAGAAGTTAGCTAAAAAAAAAAAAAAAATCTAAAAAAATGCTTTCAGTCAAAGCATAGCGACAAAACAACCAACATAGTGTGTTGATCAAAAATTACAGCGGGTCTCCGCCCGCAAAGGTCAATGCAAGATTTATTTGTTTTGCAGCACTGAAAACATCTCAGAAAGTTCTCCTGACTGAGGCGTCCTCTTTCGGTGACTCCCCCAGCTGCTGCAGCTGCTGCAGTGGCCGGGGGGGCGGAGGGGGTTGAAGCTGTCCTGCACTGACCTCTGTTAATCTTCCTCATCAAGCCCTGACTTGAACTCTTCTCGTCCTCTTCGCTGAAAACGTTTGTAACTTGTTCCTCCTGTCCACAGTTCCTCTGCGGTCACTGGAGAGGAGATCCCTCAGAGGAAGGCGACACACGCGAAAGAGAACAGAGAGAGACGCCTCCAAACGGGAAGAGCAACGGCAATTGGCACGCGGGTCGACCGATGTCCCTGTGTAAATATTTACATGTTCGCTAAAGTACGCGCGCAACATTTACTCCCATAACATGGGGTATTTTGACATCCACAGCCTTGATCGCAGGCCAAGGTTCCCTTGACCTTTTGGGAAAAACCGCACGAGACTGGGCTGCATTCGACACAATTAGCTTAAGAAAATACCCTTAGCGCGATCGGTGTTTCTGGTGTCTGTGGGTAACAATCGATCAAAAACCGGGTCGCGGGGTCAGCAGTCGCCACCCAAATCACATTGCACCGTACCTAAAGCTTCCTGCAGGGGGTGAGTCCACTAGAAGGAACCAACCACCCTAACCGGGATTCGATCTGGCCCAGGAAGTGAACCCTGGGGTTCCACACCAATGACAGAGACGTTGCCTCTGAGCCAAAGCGCGACATTAGCTCCATAAAAAATTAATTAATTAACAGCAGGCCCGTTTAAAGTGGCTTCCAATGGAATGCTTGAATGATAACAAGCCTCCAGCCACCAGGGGGCAGCAACTCACACAGTGGTTTGTACAGATACCGAAAAAATATCCGAAAATGTTACGAGGTTCTCAATAGTATTTCAATTTGCAGGGGGGTGTGGTTCGAACCACTGCTTTAAAAGTACCAGTGGTTTTGATCCAGTACCATTGGTCCAGCCCCAAAAGTGCGAACAAAGTGAGTGTTAGATAATGGCCCTGTAGCTCTGAAAATCCTCTCAGCTCTGAAATATTTAGTGCTCTGCCTAAATGTTGTCAGGTGGTGCCTGAGTCATGGCTCCACCAGACCCTGACATCCACAGAAAGAAATGCTCACGCCAGTTCAGTGCTGCCTCCAGCCCGGTTTTAATTCATTAAATATATATGGCGTATATATAGTATAAGGGCTAGTACCAGTATTTCATATATATACATATATACATATATATACATATATACACATATATATACACACACATATATATATACATATATACATATATAAACATATATACACATATATACATATATACATTATACATTTTATATAAATATAATTTTACATTTTAAAAGAACAGACTGCAAGAGATTTCACTCGGTGTGAAAGCTCTTTTTTTTAATTTTTGAATGTTATTTTTTTTTCTTTATTTTATCCTTTCTGTTTTATTTATACAACGTCAAATGTCTTCCGTTAATGATGAGGAAATAAAAAATATTTTTTACTGCCACGGGTTCTCAATTATTTTCTCATCATGCGCCCCCTAGGGGCCAGAACTTTTTTCACGCCCCGCCCCCTGAATTGAAATACTATATATATATATATATACTGTATATATAATATATATTGAGAAGATAACATGTATTTTCTTATCTCTACAAACCACCGTATGAGTTGCTGCCCCCTAGTGACTAAGCCTTTCCCTGCCCTCCTGGCACCTCACCGTACTGCCCGGGCCGGGGTGACCCGCCCCACCGTTTGAGAACTATTGGTTTGGATGAAAGATCCAAATTTGACGTTGTTAAAAAGTGTTAAAATACCAGGGAGAGGGCTGAACCTTTCGCTTTAATTTCTGCATATGCTGTTATATGAGATAAGTTAATGGACGTCGAGATAATCCATATCCTAAAGTGTTGATTCATGACCTAATTAAAGCGTTCACTTTTTCATTTTGGCCGTAAACTAGGACCTGTTGTCAGCGCTTTAGAATACAGATGAGACATTTCTGTTTGTTATCTTCCATTTGTCACTTAATACACGGCTGTCTTGACAAGAAAAGACATTCACAGTCTGAGTAGTTGCTTTGCAGTTGACCAGACGCCAGCGCTTGTGTGTGTTTTTCTCAGCAGGAGCAACCAGGAAAAAAAAAAAAAAAAAAGCAGGGAAACGGAAAGAAAGAGCTGAGTGGATTGTGTTTTGCAAAAAAAAAAAAAAAAAAAAAAAAATCACAGATATGATCGGATGCCCTGTCAACCTGTTTCTCTACCTTTCCTCCTCCTCCTCCTCCTCCTCCTCCTCCTGTTGCAGGAGAGTGAGTTTGTTTACACCACACTGGGAGCAGGTGATGAAGCCAATTTTCTCAGAGGCTCTTGTTTGGTGGCTTCACATAAAAATAATAAAAAAAAAAAAAAATTGAAGTCCCACAATGGGTAATATACACAGTGTGAGTCTTTGCAACCCACACTGTATGTGGCTCCTCCGGGGGTCAAACCCAGGACCTTCTGCCTGTAAGGCAAACATGATAACCTCTGGACAATTATTGAGACAATTCCTCTGTTCCCTCCTAAATATTTAGCTGCACTGAATCGGAATCTGAAGCCCTCAGAGCGACTCCCTCCTTCCCTCCTTTTCCTCCCACCTCCTCTCACTCTCTCTGTCTCTCTGAGTTAATATTTAACCAAACCAAAAAGTCCACCTCCCTCCATCGCTGTGACTCACACACACACACACAGATGAGCACCAAGGTCCCGCCTTTTGTTCGACTCTTTTGTTTGTTTTTACCCAAATACTACAGAAATGTCAAACTGGCGACACAGACATACAGGTTTGTCAGGTTCGTTTTTTTTTTTTTACGGTAACAATGACCTAATATAGGACCTAATATATGTCCAGAGTACATTGACTATAATTATACATGTTAGTAGGAGACCAGGGG